CTCTCTCTCTCTCTCTGTCTCGCTGTCTGTGTATTCTCTCTCTCTCTCTGTCTCAACTTTAATCCTCTCTCTCTCTCTCTCTCTCTCTCTCTCCCTACCTCCGCAATACCTACCTACTTCTCTCTCTCTCTTTCTCTCAATCAGACTCTGTTGTAATTTAACAGGCACTTCCACAGATCCCTACACTTCCCCCACCTCCACCACCCAACATCGACAAAGTAGCTCGAAGTTTGGAGGAGTTGGGGTGGGGGAGAGAGGAATTTCCTCCAGCTCGTCGGCTGGTCCAATAGGGCAGCCTGACTCCAATCCTGCAGAAACTTACCTTGGCATCCCAATAGAAACAGGGCCCGAGCCACAGCGCCAAGCTGCCCCTGACGATGCCAATGTCTGACCGTGGCCATGTCTCAGCCTAGACTGAGTCACCGCACACCTCCACCCAGGTAACCCTCCTGCCCATTGGCTAATCTGCCTTCCCCCCCCCCCCCCCTCAACCCACACCCACACCCACACACAAACTTCCTGTCTGCCTCTCATTGGCCATCCCGCTCACCTGGGCCCTCCCTAGACCCATCAATCAGAGGCCAACAGAGAGCGGCAGGGCCAGGAAGCAGGCCCTTCGGCCCAACCCGTCCATGCTTCCCCAAAACTGAACCAGTCGCCCACCCTGCCTGCTCCCGGCCCACATCCCTCCAAACCTTTCCCTGCCTCTTTTGTTGTCGTACCTGGGTTCCACGCACACGGTACACTCCCCCTGCGTTACAAAAGAGAGTTGACCCTCAAAGGTTCCTTTTTAAATCTTTCTCCTCGCCCCTAAAACCTATGCCCCCCAAACAGTTTGGAAGACCCCCACTTTAGGGAAAACACCTCAACTGATCAACACACTCATGATTTTATAAGGGCCACACCGCAAACTACAGGGAAAGAAGGAAGTCCCAGGCTATCCAACATCTCGCTCTATTCCCAAAGGATCTTTTCCAAACCCTGTCCAGTCGGAGAACGTCCTTCAGGCAAGAAGTGGAGGGCCACAACGAGACACAGGACTCCAGAAGTGGTCCCCACAACGGCCTGTAGTACCCACTGCATCATGGCTAGCTGGAAGGAGGCGAAAGAGGGAGAGGGTAGGGATAGGCGCTGGGGGTGGAGGGGGTGCACAGACCGGGGAGTGGGAGAAAAGGCAAAAATATGGCCCAAGGAGGCACGGAGAACATTCAAACCATCGATCTCCTGTCCGCACAGGGGAAGGTTACTGTCACCAGCCGATACGCTCCTCCCGGATAAAATAAATATTCTACTCCCTGGGCTGCACCTCTCTCCCAAAGATGGAGGGACATTCCAGACACTTGACATTACACCCGCAAACAATTCCCAAATACACGGGAAAATAGGTTGTTCGTCTTTGTGTTCGGGGGTCAGTGCAGACGGAGCTCCCTCAGTACTGACACTCCGAGAGGGGCCCCTCCCTCAGCACTGACCCTCCGACAGTGCGGCGTTCCCTCAGCACTGACCCTCCGACAGTGCGCA